ATATAATATAATATAATATATATAATATAATATATAATATAATGTGTAATATAATATAATAATAAAATAAATTGAAAAACAATTAATTAAATAATAATATAATAAATATATATATGTATATATTTATTCTAGTATTACAAATAAATAAATATATATTGAGTGTTTCACAATTTCTTTTTATATTAAAGTACACTTAAAATTTTATAGTTTAACTTTTTGCAAACAAGTAAACAATTTGAGTGGGCAAAAGGGTGTCAAGTGTTGGCGCGTGTATTTCATATACCAAAAAAGTGACTACTGACTTGTTTTACTGATTTGTATAAATATATCCAATGATTATTATTGAAATACACTAGAGTCGAGTCATTATTCCAAAAGTAAAAAGTGAAATCATTTTTAAAGAAAAAAATGCAAAAATGGGCGTAGTAAGTGATTAATGAATTAGATCATTTTTAAAATTTTCATAATAATTGATTTAAATAATGTTTAATATATGTAGTTATTCTAAAAAAAAATTTAGTTTATATTAAATCTTAAGTTTTTTATTTAAAGGTCAAAGCATATATATTTTTACAATTTATTTTTAAGTAGAATATATCTAAAGGATATAGTTATATATATAGAATATATAATATATATAGGATACATAGAATAATATCCTATATATATTACTAAAGGATATAGTTATAATATAAACATTGATGCAATTCTGGTCCAATAATTAATTAAGTTCTTCCATAAAAATGTCTTAATGTTTTATGCAGAGCAGTTATATCAATAATCAAAATTCAACACTATAATTAGATATAATTATAACTAATCAGACACACAATAATCTAAATAATTTATATTTGGTATTAAATTCATTTACTAAAATTTGTTTCACTTTGTTTATTTTTTTAAATTTAATTAATTGTACAAAAATATTTAATTAAATAATAAATATTAAAAAATAAATAAAAAATTTAATAACAAATTATAAAAGATAATAAAAATTAAAAACCAAATAAAAAATTTAATAAAATAAAATAAAAAATATAATAAAAATAAAATAAAATAAAAATAAAAATTAAAATAAAATAAACAAGAAACATTAAAGTAAAATTAATTAAAATAAAAAACAAAATAAAAAACAAAATAAAAATTTATTTAAATTTAAAAACAAAGTTGTAATATTTTTTAACAATTATAAAAAGCACCATGATTTTGTTTTTTATTATTTTAATTTATCTAAATGTTAAATATTAACTAATTTTCTCGAAGCTAATAGACATTAAGGCTTGTTAATTAATTAGTTTACATAATATCAGTTAATTAAATGATAATTATATACTCTTATTAATTATATAAAATATATATTTATTGCATAATAAAACCTTTCCAATAATCTGTTTTAATAAAAACAAGTTGATTTTAATTAGGTAAAAATTAAATGAAATTAATATATAAATCACTTATTTTTAAAATATATATATGTACACATATATATTTATTTAAAACGAGTACACTCACTCTCTCCTTCCTACAGTGCAATACACCACCGATGATGCAGTCAGAAGTATTGAAAGTGTCACTCACTAAATACCAGGAAGTATTTAAAAATATTTCTAAGGGTAGACAGCGTTATTGTTAATACCGTTTATTTGATATGAAAGGTCAGCATTAAAGGCAGACAACGACAGTCCAAAGCACCAACTGCCGTAAGTTTTCGGCGTATAACGAAAGCTACGAGTATTAGAATAATACAAGTATCTCGAATGGTTTTCAAAAGCGCATGTAAAACAAAACTGTCTCATTATGCTAAAATCGCCTTGAACCCAGCAGAAAAAAGTTAAGATATTGAAATATATACGATTGTGAGTAAAAGTAAAACACCTTTTCCTTTATTATGTAGTTTTTTATGTAAACATATGAGATCTACTATTTGTAATGCTTATATTTTTATGTATGAAGCTTTCTGTTTTGAGGTTTTTGTTTTGATTAAAATTTTCTGTCTTGATTTATTGTTTTTCTTCTCTTTTTTTTTTGCAAAGTATTATAATTATATATATATATGTATATATAGACAGTACTTTTATTTTTTTTTTTATGAATAACAAATGTAAAAGTAAATATAATAATAGCTAAACTGTTTTGGAAGTTTCAAAAATATGTGCATACGTACAAAAATATATACATACATGAATATTAATCAAAGTCACTGACCCCAATAAATAATTGAATACAAAGAAAAAATATACAAAAACAACAAAAATAAAATAAAATAAAAATTCAACTTAATATTGACATGTGTACGAGTGAACCAAAACATAAATACGCAAAATTATATACAACCATACATAATTATCGTAAAAAGTATAGATACTTTAGTAAACTTTTGTTTACTTGGAACATTTTAATCTATGGGAAGCTGACTAGACTTATATGCGGACATAATCTACTGCAATTAAAACGGCAAAATGATAAAGAAAAATAATTTTTATTATAAAAAAAAACATGAAATAAAAGAAAACTTCAAGATTTTGTAACAAAGACAGAAAGAAAATAAAATGATTTTCAATTTTGCAAAGTCAATCTTTGATAGCTTTTTTTTCTTTGTTTAACTGAGAATATATATCTTTTTGGAATTGTAATTAATTATTTAATAAGTTGCATTGTTTAAATAGGAAGGAAGAACTGAACTTATTTAAAATATAATTTTATTTTTAAAATAAAGTATCTTGCAACAGCTCACATAAAAGTCAGCAAACAAAGGAAGAAATTATTTTTATGTTCTTGGTGTACTAAAAATATTGTATATATATATTATATTAAGCGATTATATGTATAACGATCCTAACAATTTATTTAACTGTTTATAATATCAATATATATAATTAAATAATCTACTTTTTTCTTAATGTCCTAAGAGGTGGTTTAGTGGATTCAAGTCTTTCACGGTAGCTTTCAGGCTTCTTAATGTTCGTTTCCCCTAGTTAAGTTGATGTGGCAGTCGATATAGTTGACCAACTCACCCAGGCTCTACAGAATCTAAGTAGTTAATTAATTCACTTAAGACTAGAGACTCACATGTAGTATTGTACTACAAAGAATATGTTACAATGATTCGTACTGTATTTTGGGTATATGACACAAAAGGGTTTTTGGTAGCATTGTAGTACAGTTTGTCATATGTTACGTTTGCTATGCTCAGAGTGAAGTACATAAATGGTGTTTTTAAAAATGAATGAAAGATAATGTTACTTATACATTATTTCAAATATTGCTAAAATACTACATTATTTATAAAACAAAACAACCGAAAATATTTTATGTTTTTATAAATTTTCCCAAAATATTATTTTTTATTTTACTATTTCTGTAAATTGGTTGTTTATCAACAATTTAAAAAAATTATTAACAATACAGTACGTATAAAGTTTGAACAGTAAAATTTAGTAAAATCCATAAAATTCAATTTAAAAAAAACCATGATATTGGAATGGTTTTTTGTACTAAATTATAATACAAAAAAAAAATAATAAAACGATTTGCTCTAGAAAAAAATTTTAAAAACCAGTGACACACATAGGATTTACTTACTATAACTGTAAGAACATAAACTGTTTTTTATTTTTTTGGTGCTGTTAGGTAGCACTTTAACTTTTACTTATTCTAATAATTAACTATAAGTTGAACACATAATTGTTGCGTGAGGCGACTTAAGTGGTTTGATTATCTGGTAATTGATTTATATTTAATTTAATAGGTGACCCAATATCTATTGTGATAATGTATGACTTAATTACTTTTATAAATGGTGTTGAAAATTTTTTGCTAATTTTATTAAACTTAAATATAGTTGGATTAATATTTATTTTTTGTTTTGTTTTATAGCTACATTATTATATGTGTAAGAACGTTATGCGATTATACAAGAATTATGCTTTTTCTCATACTTTCAAAATATACGTTTTTATAGCAATTACAATAATTATGGTGTGAATGGTGGAACTAACAAGAGTAGTAAAAGTAAATTACTGACAATATCACATACATTTTTATATAGAAAATATATAATTTTTGATTGTACAAAAATAAATTAAATTTAAAAACTAATTAAAAACAATTTGAAGGTACGAAAAATATTATTTAAAACCCAAAACTATTTCATCAGCTAATTTTTAAATAATTGTGTATTAAGCAATTATTTTGATAGACCACAATCACCAAATACCTTCATTGTGTATTGTAGAAACTTGTATATTATATGACGGATTGGTAGGTTTTATTTAGTATTAAACGAGGCGGTGTTTACTTTGAAAGTTCAATGTCATTAAATACAAAAATTATAGAAAC